TTGTTGTTCGTTTTCAATGGGTTCTTGCGACAAAACGCGCGCGCGGGCGTTCGAACGATTAGGCATACGTGCGCGAGAGGCCCATTCGGTAGCAAGTTATGCACGTGTTGAAAGATTTATGATTTTCTCGAGAATTCGCAAGAGCGCGGGCGCAAACTTTTTTGTCTGTTTGAAAAGCCTTGTTGCGAAACCATTGGGTTTAATGTTTTCGGGGCGCTCGGTTTTGAAATCCCGACGAAACCTAACATTTTTGACGGATTTCGCCACGCGCACGCAGCGGCGCGCATGTGTGCGCTTTGTCTTTTTTTTTGCAAGGGGTGTTTGGAAACGGATGGTTTTAGATAAACGAGTGCGCGCGCATGGTTTTTTCCCAGAGGGCGACTGGGGGGGCCGTTGCCGGTTTGGCTGGGGTGATCCGATTTCATATTTGGGATGGACGATGGTGCAGAATCGCATATAAATCGCAGTGCGTCATGGAGGCCTGTGAAGTCCGGGTGGGGTGGGGTAGATCCTAATGTTATTTCAGAAATGAGGATCTATGCGGTCCAATAAATTTCTGTTCGCAGTGAGTTGTCCATTCCATAGTTCGCGCCATCGTCCCACCCGCCCTTTCGCGATTTGGTTTGGAAAGCCCATGCTGTGGCGATTGCGCTGAGTGCTTGGAGTTGGCCGGGACATCTTTGCAGCCGCGCTAGCCCGCGCATGCTCGCGCGCGCAGCGGCCAGCTAGTTTGGCGCGGCCGGCGCGGCCGCGGTGGCGCTGACCGCTGGGCACTTCCCAGTGGGCGCTCCAGTGCGAGTTGGCGACTTGGGCGGGACTGGTACCATGGCAACGTCTACAGCGGTAGACGCGACGATGGTAGTAGCGATGCTGGTGGCGATGAAGACGGCGCGGCCAGTCACGGCGCCGATGCTGAGCACGCCGACGACGATGACGGCGCCTTCGCGTCGGCGATGCAGGTTTTGGAGGGAGTTCGACGCGCGCGCGGCCGACGCGCGAAAGTGGCCGGCGTGAAATTTTGGATTCTGATCGTGCCCCCCCCCAGCGCGCGCAAGGGCGCTCGACTGATTTCGACGTGCGGCGCGAGCAGCCCGTTTGGTAAACTTTAATGGGAGTTTTAAACATCAAGTGCTTTTCTTTGCAAATTTGCAGGAGCGCGAATGCAGCCATTTCTGGAAACTGATGTTGCAGAACCATGTTTTATATTAGTATTTATTATATATGTATATATGTTGTTTTTTTTGTTTGTATTTTTTTATATAATACTAGATTTATTTATCATAATAACATGTACTAATCATTCCTTTTTATATATATATATATATATATATAATTTTTGAAAACGAAGTTCTTGGGGCACTCGATCCTGAAATCCGTGCAACGTTTTTAAAAGATTTCGGCATGCGCGCGCGACGACCCGCGCGCGTGCACGTCGCCCCGTTTTTTGCAAGAGGCTCTTGCGACAGCGCGCGCGCAAGGGCGTTCGAGCGATTCCGACGCGCGCGCGACAGGCCCGTTTGGTAGCAATTTGTGCACATGTTGAAAGACGAATGGTTTTTTTCAAGAATATGCAGGAGCCGCAACGCAATTTTTTGTTCCCCAGCCTTCCTGCGTTGGGTTCTCGTTTGGGTAGAGCACTGCGGTCGCGCGCCTCCCGCCTTCGTTCGTTCTTTCCTTCCCGCCTCCCTCCTGCCTCTCACCTCGCTCTTTCCTGCGTGCCAGCTTGCCTCCTACCTGGCCATGCCTGGGGAGCTGCCACTTTCGAGGGTTGCTGCGGGGTCCAGCAGAGTGACGTCTTACCCAAATTCAAATTAGACTTCGCCATCCCTAAGGGGTTGCGATCTGCGAAACTGTCGCCAGTTCCGTTGGCTGCTGGGGGGTGCAGCGGAGTGACGTTTAACCTTACTTCAAATAGACATCGCCATCTTTGGGGGGCCGCGATCTGCAGCGATAATGGTGACGATGATGACGGTGACGACGGGAAGGCCAATGACGGCGCCGATGTTGATCGTGCCGATGACGATGTCTTCGCGTCTGATAGGGTTTTTGGAAGGAGTTCGACATGCGCGTGCGGCCGATGTGCGCGAATGGCCCCCTTGTTTTTTTAGACACGGATCGCCAGCGCGCGCGCAAAGGCGTTCGAATGATTTCGACAGGCGGCGCGGGAGGCCTGTTTGGTCGAATTTGATGGAAGCATTGAAAACCGATGCGTGTCATAGAAATTCGCATGAACGCGCGCGCATTTTTTTTGGTAATTGATGTTGACCGCCATTTTCATCATTTTTTAGATCTGTTTCCGGGACATTCGATGTAGACCCCCATGACACCTAAGGTTTTTGACGTATTTCGGCATGCGCGCGCGACAACGCGCGCGTGTGCATTTCATCATGTTTTTTTGGCAAGGGATACTTGATCATTGTGGGTTTTTGGTGAACGGGTGTGCGCGCAGAGTATTCGTTGCCAAATGTGAGGGGGGTGTCGATACCGGTCTGGTTCGAAG